CTAATCATTTCATTTGCTATAACCACATTTACTCCTTCAAATGCCCTCATCCATATTTTCCCATTCTAGCAAAGATTAATTTAAAATGTGTCTGCATTATTCTCCCATCACCTACAGGCCTAATCTCACCTCCTTTATGATCATATCCCTCTCCCCTCATATCAACTTGAAATCCTTCATTCAAAACCCAATTCTTCTAGACAATCTGTTCCAAAACTAGTCAGGAACATGTCAGAATAAACACTGGAACCCTATTTCTCTTTTCTTTTTCTTACCACATTTTTTGGACTACAGATTGCTGTTTGTTCATGGGCCTCCATTTCCTCCTATTCAGTAATACTTTATTCCCCTGCTGTCTTGGGCTTCCAACCCCCACAATTATCTGGAAACCCCAAGGTAACCAATGCCCTACTTGTGAAATCCAAAAGGCATTTTCCCAAGCATCAATATTTACTCTTCTGCAATATTTCACCTTTAAAATAAGTTGCTTCATGATTTCTTCCCATGCCTATGATGTTTCATCAGCCATTTTCTGTGACCCACATGCCATGTTTAGACTTTATTACTCTTGTTTCCAGACTTCTTCAATGGCCTCCTTAGAACCTTACTGCCACCATTCTCTACCCACTTCCAAACTATCATGAGCAAGAATTGTCAATTCATACTGTACTTTCTCACTCCCAAACTCTTTGTGTCTATAGCACAAAATCTAAAATACCAGGTCTAATATTTAAGACACTTCAGAAGATATGCCCAGAAGACATTTCCTTCCCCATATAACACCCTTCATTATCCCTCCCCAATTACCTCACTTCTCCCAAACTTCTTTTCTACCAGTTCTTCCTATTCTGCAATGTTGAAGAAAAATTATTGACCCTAGTCCCAAGACCCCAGTGTTTCTTACCTCCTGGAATGTATAGAAGTAATAGTATCTTGGTACATAAACAGGTATTACCTTATATTAATAAGTTAGTCAATACAGGACTTAATTATAAAGTAATGGAACTGAGTTCCATAACCTCATTTAAATCAGTATCATTATTTTATATTATTAAGCAGGAGTAAACAGCTTTATGTGGCCACAGAACCTTTTGTTGTTTTAGATTTGAATTTCAGGAATATGAACATCTGTGGGAGCAGGGGATGGGGGGAGTTAAACTGTCCATTTCACTCCAGTTCCTACCACCCATTATTACAAAACCCACTTCAGCTGACAGTCACAAATTCTGCTTCTTCTGAAGACATCTGAGTTTACAATAGTTTCTAAAACATCTCATTGCCCTAGTAAGTCTGGAAACTCCAGGAGGATACAGGTTGTATCTTATACCCCTAGCATGACCCCGTCCTTCCCACAGGATCCAGTTCTATACTGAGTACATAGTAGGCACTTCGTAAGTACAAGTTGATGGAGCCACACAAGGCTGTGCAATCAATTTGGTTGTCAGGACTGGGAGACCACATGATTCAATGAACAAAGGACGTCATCATGCGCCTGGGTTAAACTTTCTTCCCTTACGCAATGCCAATGAGCTTTCATGATGAGTTCACACCATGACTCAAGCACTTCCAGCAATAACACCTACTGCTTACAATCTGTTCCTGGAAGTCATCCCACTAAAACAGGTGTGATATTTATCTCAGTTCAAAATACCAATTTAAGTGTGTGTCAGTTCCTGGAGGACAAGGAACAGGGAGGATTATTTTGAAGTGAGGGGGAAGGAGAACTTCCTAAAAATGCTATTTACAAACATAGTATTCCAATGGCAGGAAATAAGAACAGAAAGCACCTCTTGTTGACCTAAACCAAGAAGTGATGAATGTCATTCTAATAACTGTTAGAGACCTTAGTAGCCCTGTCACTCTGATTGAAGTGCTGAGTATTTTAAATGCTCAGATAGAATTGCTAGGATGCCCTAGCCACAGGGGAAGACTCATGACAACCAAGAGGCAGTAGAAGGTAGTCGAGAGACCACGAAGTTTAGAAAAAAGAGGGTTTGAAAATTGGCTCTGACACTTGTTTGGCTGAGCCTTAGTGTCCTTAACAAGAAAATGGGGGAAATAATGTTTTCCCTAAATAATTAAATGAAGTGAGAATAAGAATGGCTAACAGTGAGTGCTCTTTTTGTGTGAGGCATTGATTTAATGTGCTTTTAAAGTGTGTCATCCATTTACGACATTACAAAGCAAATAGTATCACTACCTCCACTTTACACATAAGGACACTCAAGCATAACGAGGTTCAATTATTTGCCCAAAGCTCTCTGTAAATGGTATCTAAATCCATGTGCTCCTGCTCCCAAATCCTCAGTTTTCACACTTATATTTTAATGCTCATATGAAGCCCTGGATGCAGCGCATGGCAAACCCAGACACTAAGTAAAGGAATGAGTGAATGATAAAAGGGGTATAGGGGAAGGAAGACCATTAGCTCCATCTCTTTCCAGGGCCCCCAAAGGTAGATGATAAGGTCTCTAAAAGACTGTGACTCTCCCAAAATCCCCAAAGTTGCCCTTGTCCTGCCCCTCTATGGAAGAACTTAGAACAAATCACCTTCCAAACTCACCCAGGCTATTCAAGACATGCAATGACACACCTTAGCTGGTTTAAGAACATCCCCAACCAATCACATCAAAAGCTCAAGCCCCTCTACACATGTGTATGACAACTCTGCCTTGCCAGGGGTCTCTCTTCCCTCTCTTCATTTGAAGTCCTAATCTAGATCTGTGTCTCAGGGGCCTAGAGGCTCCTGAATTCCTTTCACTATTTCTGGGACAGGCCTTGGGAACCCTCATCACTGTTGTCTCAGTGTTCCTAGTGGTATCGAGATAGAGATAAAACCCCCAATCTCTGCACCATGTGAGCCTTCCACACATACAAACCAAACCCAGATATACATATGTTGTGTTCTGTCTGCTCTGTTGGTTCCCACGGTCTTGGAGAGGAGACAAAACTGTGTGGCACCACAGAACCACACAGAGTGAATGCACTCCAGCAGGTGATTCTTTGGGGTTGACAAGGAAAGGTGATATTTTACTATGAACTACAAGGTACTTTGAAAATAAAGATAAGAAGCCAGATGTGGTGGTGCACACCTGTAATTTCAGCACTCAGGAACAGAGGCCGGAGGATCACAAGTTCAGGTTAGCCTGGGTTATATAGGGAGTTCAAAGCCAGAGTGAGCTACACAGCAAGAATGTCTCAAAAAAACAAGGGTTGGGGATGTAGTTCAGTGGTAGCACACTTGAGTAGCATGAACAGGGTCCTGGGTTTGATTCCCAGCACTGTAAGAAAACAAAAAGAAAAAATATGTACTTATAGGGATGCTGATGGATCAATTTAAAAGATGTTGAATCCCAAGGGGAAATTTTGGACTTGGAACTCCTCATTCTGCTAAAGAGGCTGTGTCAACCCAGTCATCCAAAAACATCCCATTTGCTCCAAGGAAGAGCTCTTGTCCTAGATCTGACCCAAGCTGTGGGTCAAATTCCTTAGTTCTAAAGGTAAAACTAAGCATAGGTTCTTTCCTTTGATAAGTAATATAAATTTATTGTCATAATTTGACCACCTCAGACCCAGTGTGGAGGACAGAAGGGCCCTAGACTCAGGTAGTCTTATCATTGTTGGCAGGATGCTCAGCACAAGAGAAGAAAGGAGAGAGAAGGTTCTTTCCAAAACTTGAATGTCTTATAGTGCTGGGATGGTTCCCCCACCAGGGAAGGGCAGCAGCCCCATCTGGCAATGATAGCATATTTACTGGATTAAAAGGCATGTCCTACTCAGATTATAGCCAGTTCCTTTAATGGTTCTGACTGAGTGGAGTCATGGCTATATTAAGAACGGCCCAGCATTAAGGAGCTAGGCTGAACTCATATACACAACTCATCAGATTATAAACTTAAAACCAACCAACTCTTCTATATCAGTCATATCATCCAATTTTTATCTCTTTTATACTTCAGGACCTACAGACTTCACCTAGACTGATGACCATACAGAAACAGTCTTTATGTATAGCTTTTGCTTAGAGGGCCCAGATTTCACATAAGAGACTGTCCCAGGATCCTCTGCAAACTGACACCCCATGAAGTATGCTTGTAAAATATGGTTGAGGATTTGACAGATCTGCAATGGTGAAAGTCAAGAAAGGAATTATAAACTGAAGTAAGACAGGTAGGAATTCTTTTTACGATGTTTAATGACAGATCTTTCCACAGTAATCCAAACCTCAATACATCAACAAAATTATTCACGCTATTACACACTCCAAAAGCAAAATACCTGAATTGCAATCCTGGCCCCCATATAACTCCTCAAAGCTTAATCCCTTGAGAAATAAAAAGTCAAAATCCAAGTAATTTAAACAGTAGAATTAGCAGATCAGAAAGTGAGGAGGGAAGCATTCAGTGAGAAAAACGGAAATGACCTCTAATAAAAGTGGGCATTTTGGATCTGCACCCAAATGTCCCTCTAGTCTCCCTTCCTCCCGTCTTCATCCTCTTCCTCCTCGCTCAAACTGTGAAGCATTTCATAAAGGCACACTAATTTAAAATCTGGTTTTGGCAGTCCTTCCTGTGGGACCTATTTTCTTAAAGCAGTTATTTCAGAAAAATATTTGAGGAAGGTTTTGTTCCTGACCAATATTTATCAAGAATTGCTTGAAGCTGGACCTGGGGATGCCACCTCTAATCCCAGCAATTGGGAGCCTGAGGTAGGAGGAGCTTGAATCTAGGCTATATAGCAAGACCCTGCCTCAAAAATATTGCTAGAAAAAGGAGAGTAATTTAAACTACAGTCCAAAAAAAAAAAGTCTCCTTTTACAAATTTACCTTTAAAAACAAGATACAAATTCTCTAGATGTAATGCTGTCTTTTCCTTGGTTTTAAGGAGACTTCATGTAAATCAAGCCCAACACTAAAAATAAATAAATAATAAAAACATATGTATCAAATAGAGAAAAATCAGGTTGACAGCCTTTTCCTGGAGGATTTATCAGGTTATTCCTCTAGCTCTAAAAATGTAAAACATTTTTATTAGAATTTTTTTTTAATTTCTTTTATTCGTATGTGCATACAATGTTTGGGTCATTTCTCCCCCCTTCCCCTTTATTAGAATTCTAAAAAGTGCTTACCTAAAAGTGCTTTTCAATTTCATGCTCAAAACAAACACACAAACAAAATAGGAATTTTCCACATGACAAAAAAATGTGAGCCCCAAACAGCAAAAACTTTAATCAACTCTTACTTGAGCACAAAAGACTGAGTAAGGGATTTGATTTAAAGGGGATTAGACACCAGCAACTCAATAGAGACAACAAAGATTGTTGTTCATTTCTCCATGGATGTGTCAGTTATCTTGATGAGTGAGCTCTTCTTGATCCTCCTTCAGTGTTCATTTATTTTCCCCTGCAAAATTTGAAACATCACATACTGCATGTGATACTGACAATAAGGCACACCATCAACAAAGTCAAAGAGAAAAAGATGAATTAACACTACCCTAATCTTGGCCTGGAACTCTGCCTTGGGCTCACTTGGGCTCACTTGGGCTCACTTGACCCTCTTCTCCTACATTCCCTGGTTTTAAGGGGAGTTGGAAAATAAGGCAATGTGCACCTGTTACAATCTTGGGCAAGTTATTTGACCTCTTTGTATATCAGGATGATGACACTCAGAGTATTACCTCCCAGTATTATTGTACGGAGTTAGTATAATTCTTGGGGCAGAGTAAATGTGCCAGAACTTGCTAGGTGTTATTGAGATGAACTGTTAACTGTGTTCCAATCAATTGTGTTCTACAGAACAATTACTGGTGAGCATAGAAGGGGTCAAGAATGGAATTGGGGATGTTCTGAATCTCCCATCCTCAAAAAACTCACAGTCTACTGCAGATTCTCCATCCTAAATGTGTATCAGAATTTCCTAAAGAACTCATAAAAATACCAGTGTTGGGCACCACTTGTAGAGACTCAAGTTAAACTGGTCTGGAGTCTAGGCATTAGAATTTTTCAGTTTCCCAGGTTCTAATGTTTAGTGAGGATTGCTGGCCCAGTAATTTGCCTTGTGACTTGGGTGTATGATCACTGCTGGTTTAATCTGTTGAACTCTGAAAGGACCGGGAGCTTCTAAGACAAAGACAGGTATATAATTATCCGTTACATCATTCCCCCAAAGTCACCAAATGACAAATTCCACAGAAGGAATGCCAACCAAATCAGAGAGGGTAGGCCTTGAATGGTGAAGGATGGTTTCAATAGCTGAGGCTGGTTTTCTTTCAGTTTGGGTGGTAATGAAGATGTAGGGGCACTATGAAAGGAAGAAAAATGACTCTTGCCCAGTGGCAACAGGAGAGATTACAAGCCATCCCAGCCACTGTCTTAGTTGCTAGAGACCTAGTGAACTATGACAGAATCAGAAACCAGCACTTTAACAAATTTTTCTTTTATCTTTTTTTTTAATTGGTATATTTCCTTTTTTGCTATTATTGAATTTTAGAAAAGGTATAAGGCTACAATTCTTGCTGTGTCTGGGGAAATCCTGAGCTGCCTACTTCACTGACCATCCAGTTGGAAGCACGACAAAGAGCTTGGCTCCCTGTTTCAGCTTCAGGCCAGCCACATGGTAGAGTCTGGGACCACAGGCAGATTTCACAATTCAGTGGAATCAGCACAGTATGGTCGGTCTCCCATCCCTGAACAGAAGGTGGAAGACCTGACTCTGCTGAGGGACCAGGAATTTCACAGAGGTGGCCTCGTAAGGCCCTCCCTCCATGGAAATGGATTCTCAGTTAGTACACCTGACACAGGCAGTCATCTCATGCCCTTGGTAAGGACTGTGGCATAAGAGCAATCATGTCTTCCAGGAGAACTAGGGATAATCTAAGGAGTTTTGCAGGGGTTGTGGAACTTTTTGTTTATTGGAGGGGTTTTTTTTGGGGGGGGGCTTGTAAAATTCACCATTTTAAGTATGCAAAGGGTAATTGGTTTTATACCCTAAGTACCAAGTCCCAAAACATCCAGAACAAGGGGGAAAAGATGTATTCTAACCCTTTCTACCCACTTCTTCCTCCCAATTTCCTGTCTCTACCTAGTAAGACAATGGACTCATTGTTTTTTGGTTCAAAATCCCTAACATTTATGTAGCTAAAACTCTACTTTTTCTTTTTCTTGGATCTTGTGATCACTGGGATACCAGGAGGTAGGGAGCACAAAGTGAAAGACCTGCTGTGGAAAAGGAAGGGCAGGAACTGGTGCTCTCACTGTGTGTTCTCTGGAATCTGTCCTCCTGACCCACAGGATGCCTCTAGCTGTCCCATTTTTATCTACTTGACCTTGCTTATTTGGATCTTCCCCAGGTTCACTGGGCTACTCATAATGCACTGTTTGCTCAAGACTTGTCAGAGTCCCCTGACATTGTTTGTTTGTTTATAACCAGGAGAAACTTCCCTAGCACAGCCCTCCAAGATCCTTGTCTCACTAGGAATCCATAATTCGAGAAGTAGGGCTAGTCAAAGGACAGAATGCAGAGTTTCCAGGAAAGGCCCATGAACACATTCCAAACCAGTGAGAGGTGACTGCTGTTTATGTAGGAAATCCATTTTCCAAGACAAAAATTATGGGGGTTTTGTTACATCTTCTCAGTCTCCTCATGTCAGTGTCCACATATCAGTTGGTTCAGGGCTTTCTGTAACTCGATGTTACCTATGTTGAAATTCAATGCAATTTGGCATTTGTAATTACGTGGGCTATATTCTGTGTAACAACCTAATAAAAGCCGAGATAACTGTTCTCACAACCAGAGATTAAGTAGCCCAGAATCCATCCTTTAATCTACCAAGCAGAATGTTCTAAAGTAAAAGCCAACAGAATGGACAATTGTTGAGCTGTCCTCCACACTCCTCTGGGCCAAAGGTGGGGAGCCCCAGCCAGCCCTGGAACAAGGTGATTTGTGTCCTAAAGTACAAGTGACCCTCAAGCCAGACTATCAGGAGGCTGACTGTAGTGAAAACCTAACAGGTCATCCCAATACTCCATTATTGCCTAAAAAGACTCATAATTATTTTGATGTTGCTGTGGTGAAGATCACATAATACAACACTATCAGATCCTAGTGGGGGACATTGGAGGGCAGTGTCCAAACTCTGCTTGGTTGCCAAAAGGCTCTTATTTACACCCTTGCACTTTCTTTCTTCCCAGAGTTCTCCTACCTACCATGAGTTTTGGAAAAGCAACAGAATGCAACGGTTAAGAGCATGGTCTCTGAGGCCACCCTATCCAGGTTCATGTTATTTGTCCCACCACTCACCAACCATGTCACTTTAAGCAAGGTACATAACCTCTCTGTACCTCAGTTTCCCTATCTGTAAAGTGGAACTAATAATAGTACTCATCTCAAAGAGCTGTTGTGCGAGCTAAATATTAACTCATTTAGCCCACGTGGAATATGTGCACAACTTCTTGGCCCTTAGGAAGCATTTAATAAGAAAGACTGGAATGAAATGTCTCAGCATATTATATTTAGGAAAATTTAAAACATTTATTATTTACATAAAGACCAAATATGATAAGTCTATTCTAAGTATTGTTTGTCATCCCACAGTATGGAACTGTCACATGTTACTATAATGATGCATGTTAAAATGATGAAGTTACTGCACACTAGCTGGATTTATAACTCAGCCACTTAAAAAATAAGTGAGAAATCACATTGGGGTGGGGAAGAGTGGAAAGTTGTCAGCAGGATGCAGAACAGGAGTTCTCAGCTTTACTCCCATCTACAAAAATCCAACTTGCACTATGGAAGGAAGAGGTACTAGCACACTGGGCCTCGGGTATGGATGGGAAATAAGAGAACACCTGAGAAATGACATGCCACAATATGGCCAACTACTTTGCTACATGTCTGACTAATTAGTTCTAGACTTGCCTTGTTATCTCATTCAACATTCACTTATAAGAACTGTTTACTAAGCAGAAACCACAGTGGAGAGTCAATGATGCAAGGACTGCAGCAGAGTGGGAAGGCAGGATCTTGTTCAGAACATACACCCAGTAGGTGTGACTGGAAAGTTAAATGGTATTTGTGTATTATGCAAATGCTGGGTGTAAAGTAGCAAGAGACAGAGACACAGCTCTAATATCATGAAGATTTCATCCTAGTAGAAAAGATTGATTTTAAACAGCAGTAATAAAAACTGTCATACTTTATGAAAGAAAAGTGCAGAGTGCTAAATGGTATATGGAGGAAGGAGTGTCATGGAAGGTCACAGACCTGAAGGATAAACAATGTCACCCAGTCAGAGCCAGGAAGAATTATTCCAGTTGGAGAAAGCAACATGTGCAAAAGCCCTAAGGCAGAAAAGGACTTGTGGTCAAATTGCTGAATGATGTCTGAGTGTCTCTTAGATAAAGAGCCACTGAGGAGTAGGACAAGAGAGAGCTGGCAGACATGTACTATTGCTGTTTTACTGTGTGAAGGAAGAACATAGTCCTAGGTCTCCTACCACATTTTCTACTTACTTCACTGCTAGCAGGAAACTGAAATTCTTTTAGCAAATCAAGACAAGAAGAAGTACTTAACCTGCTTACTTACATAAGACAGCCATTAAAAATGTCTCTGTTCATGTGATGGGTATTTCTTCAGAGGGTAGCTTGGGTCTCCAAATACATCATTTACTTTGAAGACAGAATCATCCTATAACAAAACACATCCAGCAACTGCATTACCCATAATGTAATAGAGATCAATAACCAGATGTGTAGCTTTTTGCACATAACAGGTATGTGCATCTCATATTTGCCATATATAGGGGTTCACTATGTATGTGTGTATGTAGGTTGGTTTCCTTCCTTCCTTTCTTCTTTCCTCCCCTTCTTCCCTCCCTCCTTTTCTATCTTCATTTTAAAGGAATTTACTTGAAAAGGCTGGGAATTAAAGGAAAGCCAATGACTTTACAGAGAGGAAGTAAAACAATTCACTACTCCCATGATAATGGTAATCAGTATTTACTTATAAGTATCATGCTATCATCTAGTCTATGTCAGTACTGGTCAAGATGACCAATTCAACTACATGGCATGGTTAACTCCAGCCACTGAGGGCACTGGTAACCTTTCATTTAATTCAATTGGTACCACAATTTTACATTTCTGTGATTACTTGATTAGTCCACCTCCCCCATTCTGTTGCAAGTTCAAGTTCCCATATTTGTCAACAAAGACCTAGTTTCATCAGAAACCCTAACCTTTGGCTGCTGCTGAGCTCTGTGTGATGTCAGAAGATTGCATATCCTTTCATGGATCTTCTTCCACGTGGACTGAGAACTAGGATGGAACCTGCCTAACAGAGTAAACATAGTGGAGTATTATGGAGAAACTAAAAATGACACTCAGAGTATATAATAATATGGGTCAATACCTAAAACTAATCATAAGAAAAAACATCAAGATGCAAAACAGTACATAAGGTGTGACTCAATGCCTTTATTAAACTATGCATAAGGAAAGCACTGGGAAACAAAAATAACCAAGATATTAAAAATGGTTGTTTGGGTATGTGACTATGAATGAGTAATTCTTCTTTGGAAATATCTTTCAGATATTTCTCTACTGAACAAATCCTGCTTTTTCATGTAAATTTTTACACTCAAATGTTTCATATAAAATCTAATCTCTTCTACCACAAGGATTTTATTTTATATCTCATTTATTTTAGGTCACCCAGATCCCAAAGTTAACCACCAGCCTGACAGTGTCTTTCAAGTCCCCAAATGTAGTGTTTTTTCTTTGTCTTCCATAGGCATTCACCAATACTGTTCCCTCTGCCTACAATCCCACTTCCTCCCAACTCCTATCCCTATTCTTAACTCCTAACCACTCTCTAGGGCATGAGTAACAAATCCTAAATACTGAGTTATAACTAAGCAATTTGATCATGAAAACTATAGCTACTATTTCCTAAAAATGCCTAAAGAATTTCAGCAATTCAAACAAAATCATTATTTTCTATTAATATACAATAAACATCAAAAATGACAGGAGCATTTGGGAGCCTATTCTGACTGCTATGCTAATGCCTGCCCCCCTGGGCAGTTGCTTCGCATGGTTCAGGCCCCAACAACCTCCCTTCACAACTGTCTCTGTAACAAGCATGTCCCAGTGGTTTCCATGGAGACAAAGCCAAGAGTAAGACTGTACACTAATCCATTACCAACCCAGGAAAACAATTTGCAACAAATGAGAGCACCCCCAAAACACTGTTGTGCTTTTAAAAAGACCACATACATGATTTCTATACTGCTCTCGGAATTTTGAAGAGGAACAGAACTATTTTGAAGTTATAAATAAAGCTAGCATTTAAAAATAGCCACCACCTAGACAATGCACATGCCTTCTCGTAGGTCTTGAGAGTATCAAAGTAATTAATGCAATTACACACAATGCAAATGCATACATCTTTATGTTCCAGGAAATCTATTCCACATCTGAGAGTCATTCTCTAAGGATGATGAGCCAATAGACAGGAGCAGTGCTGTGTCTTTATTATAGACTTCTATGTGTGAGTCACCTTCTCCTTGTGCAGAAGGAGGAGTGAGGATGGTTGTTGAAGGCATGTGACACTATCCAGATGGTGGAGATGAACAGCACCTCAAGAGTGTTCCTCCCTCTGTTGGGAATACCAAAGGATAGTTAAAGGGCTTTGCACTTCTCATAAAAACCTTGAGCTGATTCTCATTCCAAAATTGATCTCCCCACTCATCCCTGTGACCTTGGCCCTTACTCCTTACACCTCTTAAGAGGTGTTTCTGGTGCACCCTTGAGATATGGGCACTGAGGGACTGGTCCTGATGATACTAATGTGAAAGCAACAGTCAGTGAAGTGGAGACAGAGTTTGCAACCCCTAATGTCCCAGAAGCCTATTTTGGGGGTCACTCTAAAGGTCTCTGGGGAATGGAGTCTTTTACCCAGCATATGAAGGACATAGCCTTCATTCGAAACTGCTATCTGAAAAAATAATACCTTTAGATCCACTCCTCTGGAATTAAGGTGACCAACCATCTTGGCCTGCCCAGGAATCAGGACTTTCCCAGGAAACAGGACTATTCAGAATAAAGCCAGAACAGCCATGGACAAACTGGATAACCTTTCTATGGCCATGTTATTCTTTGTCATTGCAGATTATGGCCTTATTTACAAACTCATAGTCCAATTAGGTCCAAAGTTAACTATTTGAAGTGACTTTGTGCACACAATATTTGCTGCCTCATCCTAGATATCCGATAAAACTCTGATCAGCTGTTAAGTCTCATCTTCCTGAAGTTACCTTTGCCACCACCCTTGACTAAACATTCAAAAGCTCCATGTTGCCTTGCAAGAAAAAGTTCAGCCTTTCTCGATGGCTACCAAGGTCCTCCCTTAGACCTTTAAGCCCTGGTACCCACTATTCCCCCAAATTAAAGTGCTGAACACTGACAGTGTCCCTACCTTCTCCCTTGCCATCATCATCCCCTTTCATTAACTTTATCATAAACCAATCTCCTCCCTTTAGGGCCCACATGAAAATATCACTTCCTCCATAAAATATTCTAGAAGTGCCATCCTCATTTATTCCACATTTGTCTGCACCATTCATGACGTTCTGCCTTGTAGAAGGCTCTTCGTGTGTGTGTGTGTGTGTGTGTGTGTGTGTGTGTTTTAATTTTTTTCCATCCTGTGCTAGGTTACAAGTTCTCAGAGATCAGGAGAAATGTGTTAAAAGGTTAGTGTTTCCATTCCAGGCCTAGAAGATTGATCATCAATCCTGTTTTCCCTGAGACACTCTTTTAACGATAGAGATTCCACACACTCAAATCCAGTCCCAGTTGATTTTGACTCGGAAGCATGAGGCAGTTCTTTTGTCAGCCAGAGGTGAGAATCACTGGCCTGCTATACAAAGACAGGCTAGTTGAATGAAGGGGTGGTTGAATGAATGCACAAGTCATCTAACATATTTAGGAAAAATGAGTTCTTCCCAAACCTCCCTCCTGATGTGATTAATCTCCTCTTGTACTGTCTTCTCCTGCATTTAGCTTGTACTTCTGTTGAGTGCACACCACAATCCATCTCATTTTTAGGGGATGAGGTTACTTCTACCTTCTTATTTAGTGTGTGAACCACTAGAAAGCAGTGATGTGTCATGATCATGTACACTGCACATAACAGTTGTCTGATATTGCATACTCAATTCAGTCTCTCAGAAAAGCTTGCTTCACTGATTCTAAGGAGTACTGGAGATGTGTATAAACAGACACATAGACAAAAGCCCACTTCTGGCAGCAGAGAAGCACTTTGTGGCTGAAAGAAGATTTTCTTTGATCATCACACTCATTTTAAAAATGAAAAAATGTGGTCTAAAAGGGCTAGTTTTTGTGAGACCACACGGCACTTAAAATCAAGTGTCACTGGGGCCCAAGTCTCCTGGTCACCACCAGATGAAAGTTCTTCTCACTCTGTTTAAAACTAATTTTCTATAAGTCCTTGAATCCAGGATAATCTCCCTGCTTTGCCAACCTGCTGAGTTCCACACTGGTAGCAAGAGCATAAGCCAGGAGGGGACAGAGGCCAGGTACAGAAAGGGGCATAAATGTGTCTCTCTAACTATGTCTGTGCCAAAGGTGATTTTTTAAAATACATGTTGTATCATTTTCCAATGAAATAAATAATCAAGAACTCATTACACATTAATAGATTTGGTTTTTTTGTGGTACCAGGACTTGAACTTGGGGCCTATACCTTGAGCCTTTCCACCAGCCTTTTTTTTGTGTTAGGTATTTTTGTGATAGCATCTTGCGAACTATTTGCCTGGACTGGCTTCGAACCATGATCCTCCTGATCTCTGCCTCCTGAGTGGCTAAGATTACAGGCGTGAGCCAACAGTGCCCAGCTCATTAACAGATTTTATTAAAATATCTAATTTGGTTTTCTCAAATGATTTAACATTTTAATATAGTTATTCTATCATTTCTGAGAAACACTACAAATGGACTGTTACTTTCTTAGTGTATCTCAGACTTAATATAATTCCTATGAAATTTTCAGTGCCACTTTGATTCTGGAACATACTTAACATGAGCCCCTTTGTGAGCAATCATGTTATTTGGGAAAAGGAACTTATTCTCACCACTAACAAGGCAGAGAAAAGCAGACTGGCATATCCCTCATTCAACACAGCTGTCTTAGGCATGTTATTTTCAGTGCCACTTCCCTGGAGTGAAGGGGGCCACTTATCTTAGTTTGCTGAGATTTGGGTTCTCCAGGATGTAGGACTTACGGGGTTAAGCTGAGGCAGACCTAAGTGAACTTAATGACTGGTCGCTTTCCTAGAGATGCAACTTGGCAAATTTAAAGATTTCTGCTCTAGTTCTCTAACCTGCCTTCCAAACAAATACAAATATGTTTTTTATTATTTGTGAAAATACAGACAAACCAAGAAACTATATCTAGAAAAAGAGCATATACTGACATGTTAATGGTGTTTGCTTTGGATGGCAGGACTGTGGGTGACTTTTTACCACTCCTTTTGGTTTGCCTGTAACATCTAAACTTTCCATAGTGAACACTTTTATACTTGTGAAACCAAAAACTTTAGTTTTAAAATTGTGACAGATAAAAATGGGTAGATAACTGGTATCTATATCAGTTAGTTGTCTATCCCACTTATGACAAATATCCTGAGACACACTGTCCCAAGGCAAGAGAAAAGGCTCAACTCTGACTTTCAGGTAGATTTTAAAAAGAATCTTCATTTTCCATACCAAAACACCAGCAGAATATTCCTAAGAAAGAAACTGACAAAGTGACTAGGCTTTATTCCTGACAGACCACAATGCCCTCTTTAGGCAAGGAGACAGGTGTTTACTGCTGACCTTTCTTGAAGAGGCTGATCAAGAGGGCTGGGAGATCTGGAATGCCGGGAGGTAGTAAATGAAGTTTTTCGGAAGAAATCTGCATCCCTTTGGTTACTGGGTGAGGACTTTCCAAACTTACTTGAATCTAAAGGTGATGGTGATTCTCTCCTTAAAACAATCCATTCATCTGGTTCTTTGATAACCTGGGTGACAATGTGCAGTATTCTTTAGTTGTAGGCTTGTTTGCTTAGAACTAGGGGTAGGGTAGGGCAAAGAAGATAAATTGAGGCAAGATCCTGCAAATACAAGGGCCCCAGTACAGAATACTAGAGACAAAATACTCAGGAGTCAAGGTCAAGAAAAAATAACCAAAAGTCTGTACATTTGGCATATGTTAATAAGCCAAAATAAACTCATGCCAAAATAAATCAAATGAACTTTGATTTCTGGAGATAGGGAATTACTGAATCCAGGAAAGATACAATTTTTATATAAAATATTTAAGTGCTAGGGCATAAGAAAAATAGCATACTCAGTTTTCTTTGCATACATCTGTTTTCAAATTGTAACACAGAAATTTGAATCTTCCCATTGACAAATCAATCAAACATCAAAAACAAGTGATTTATCCCCTTTATGTATAAAGGAATCCAATTAGAGAACAAGCAATGAAAACCACTTCTAGTAAGGCAGGTATTGGTCTATATACACCTTCCTTGGTAATTCACCCTACAAATGAAAAGCGGGAAGCAAGCCAAATATACAGTGGGTGTGGGCACCTCTTTACATAAACCCTAGCTAAACTAAAGAATTCTACATAAGGACCGCTAGCTAGAAATATACTTTCCACTTTGGATTACAGAATGCACAATAATTAACATAAGATAACTGAAAATAAATCATTTTACAAATGCTATTTCTAAAATTACCTTTATGTTTCCTGCAAGGCTGTCAAGAGAAGCAGCTAGAAGAGAGAGGAACATGTATTTGAATGACTGATTATTATCAGTAGGCCCTAAATCTGCTGTTACATTTATCCCACAGTAGTATAAAATAATTTAGACAGTGAATGAATTATTAAAGAACTGAAATGCTCCCTTGTAAATTACACTATCACTTTCAAGTCTCCCTTGAGTCACTACAATTCTATCTATGCGTTTTTATGTCCTCAAGGTCAACAATGACATTCTATGTTTAATTTCAGCACATATGGAAAGGGAATAGTAAAAGCAAACCTCAAGTAAAGCAAAAAGTTCAATACCCTTAAAGCAGCCTTAAGCAGAAAAAAACATATTTGCTCAGGTGCCCAGAGCCTAAAAGAAAGCAATAATGGGTCTAATATAAAATTCATATACTCTGCCTCTTCTGCCATTCCCTTTGGTTTTGGTAGAATTCTATTTATGCAGGAGCTCTTGAGTATTCTTGTCTAAGGTAAATACAAATGTTAAATTGAGACACTGAATACCTAAGAGCTTAGAAAAACATAATGCAGAAAGAACAGAAATCATTACAATTACCCTAAATCATTATGAGAAGTAAGTAGTCTCATACTGGAGAATGATAAGGATGAAGTAATAAAAATGCACAGAGAAAACAGACAAAATTGGATTTTTTTCAGGTTGGAAAAAAATGATTTTGAAATGAGTATTTGTAAGTTAATGCTAAGGCTATCACAGCTCCCTCCAGTGTGACTAGAGCACAGGCAGTGACAAAGGACTTCTCTTGGACACCTGAAAAGTCCACTGGTAGGAAAAAGCAAGACATTAAAAGGGATTTTTTACAGTCTGATGATTTTCACATCTGGACATATACGTTTGTGTCTGTGACCATTTTATCCCAGGAGCTCTCTTCTCTTCCACCCTGAACTGAGCAGGAAATGAGTAATGCTGAGGCTCTTTGCAGCTATTGCCACAAATGCACCCTGTGACCTAGGAAGCCCCTTGCTACTGATTTTGAGCATTTCCTTTCACAGGGCACTGGCTTTTATTCCTTAGCTTCTCAAAGCAAAGTCCAAGGACCAGTAGCATCATTATACCTGGAAGCTTGTTAGAAAAGAAGGATTCCACACCTCCTGAATCAGAATTTGCCCTGTAACAAGATTCCCAGGTGATTCAAATGCACATTCAAGTTTGAGAAGTACTACATTATTCTACCTTACAGTAGAATAATAACTACCTGAGTGAATAACCTGATAGGTGATTTAAGCAAAGGTTTGGCCTGAAAGCTACAAAGACTCCAAGGATCTGAGCCCAGAAGTCTGAAATCTTCTCTAATTTGTAGGTATGCCAAAAACTTGATGTGTGACCTGAACACCCATTATAACCTCTCTGGAAACTTAGTTCTCTACCTGCCAGGATTAACAAAGAAAAAGGCCAAGTCTAGTGTGATGTATGAGTCCCATCATCCTAAGGCAGCATTAAGCCCAACTTGTCCTCCCCAGGAAAGGTCATTTGCTGTTGCTTGATTTCACTCTGCTGCCTTTGTAGACTACATGGATGGTTTTCAATTCACAGAACTTAAATTAAATGTCAGAGGTGATGAAGTACTTTCTCCTTCCAACCCTACACTCTGTCCTTGGTTAGCTGTTATCAGTGACTATGGCCTGAGTTACCATAAGAGACTCTGCAGCTCCTTAAAAGTCAAAACCTTTAGAGATAAGGATCTCTATTGTGAGGGACAGCACAGGTCCAGTCCTACCAGGAGGCAAGGGAAGGGGATACCAACATTCCTTCCTAGTGAAAGAAATTAAATTCAGTAATGGTTGAACTTTGCTGCCATGACTTCACTATTGGCATTTCTTATATATTTCAGTCATAAAGGCCTCCAAGGGAGGCCTTAATCCAATGTGTGACCTAAGAACCTCCCCAGGAATCTCCAAGACCTTTTAACAAATCTTCAAGGTCAAAACTATTTTTCATACTAAGTCATTTTCATAATAAAACTAAGTCTTAATATTATTCACAATCCTAACAAAAGCTACGAGGACATGTAATAACATCACCATTCTGATGGCTAGTGGCAGTTGTGCTAGTGTGTTATATTTTTTAACTTTCTCAGTTTTAATTTCTAACATGCTAAATATTGTCCACATCAACAAAATCTCATTGGGGTTCTCAAAATATTATTTAAGAATGCAAAAGTGCCAGGTGCTGGTGGCTCATGCCTGTAATCCTAACTACTTGTGAGGCTGAGATCAGGAGGATCATGGTTCAAGGCCAGCCCAGGCAAACAGTTTGTGAGACCTCATTTCCAAAATAACCAGAGCAAAATGGACTGTAGATGTGGCTCAAGCAGTAGAGCATCTGCTTTGCAAGTGTGAAGCCCTAAGTTCAAACCCTAGTCCCTCCAAAAAAAAAGAACGCAAAAAAGCATCTTAAAATCAAAAGCTTTGAGATTCCCTGCCTTAATCTGTTTCAGAGAGAGCTGGCTCCTCTCCACACTAACATGGAATCCTGTACAGCAAGTGTTTTAGATCTCCTGATCTCCACCAATCTCCTGCTCTTTCCTTTGCGGGGGGAAAAATGTCAGGCTGGACGAATGGCTCAAGTGATAGAGCACCTGCCTGATGAGTGTGAAGTCTGATTTCAAACCCCACTACCAAACAAACAAACAAAACAGTTTATTTGTTAGCTGTCAATGTGCCTCTGCAAGGAGCTCACACCAGGTCAATGACAAGCTGCTCTCTGCTTTTCCAGCCCAGGCACTATGATGGGCAACAATACTCTGTACAGTCCCCTTCAATAGCTTTGGCAATCCCAAACAGACAGTTTCTCAGCAACCTCTGCCCCATGGGAACACCACAGCAGCCCACAGTGTGCAATGTAACTTGTGATTACTCAGAGTGAAAGATGGCATGTATGAAGCACTGGTTCCCATAAGGAAATGTAAATGAAACCAGAAACTCGAGTACCTCTTCTCATTGGAAACGTAAAGTCTGAAAATTTAGATTTTCTTCTAGACTTCCACAAATGATCCTCCAAATTATTTTCACCAAAGGGCTTTGCACTGTCCACCTAAAAGGAAAGGAAAGAAATGAGACTTGATCTACAATAACTCATATTATGCTCTAATTACCCATAATGCCTTTCTTCCCCTCAATCACTGATTATGCAGCTTAGAAAAAAGAAGATCATAAAATAGCCTAATTTGCAGTGCCCAAGTGTGTTTTATGTTATACCTAACAGGAAAAACTGTCCCTATGTTCCCTGAGGCTTCAGTAAGGCTAGAACACGAGGATATGGGCTAAATGTGGGCATAAAGAACTGAAGTTAGACGCATATAAACAGCCAAGTTTTATTTCACAGTCTTCTAAACAGAACAGAGTATGAAGTTCCTGAACTGCATGAACAGTGCTGACACAGGCGGAGTCCTCCCTGACAGCAAGGAACTGCCACAGCTGGCAGGTTTTTTCCCAGCCTTCCACATCCCTTCCCTTCTGAGTGTCTATATTCTTGATAAAAGAATAGTGATGGGGCTGGTGAAGAGGCTCAAGTGGTAGAGCACCTGCCTAGCAAACATGAGGCCCTGAGTTCAAACCCCAGTGCTGCCAAAAAAAAAAAAGAATTGTGACAGCTGAGTTATTTTACTTTAGGTGACAGATCTTTCCTAAAGAAAGATCGGGCGACATGATGTGAAAACAGGTCTAAATACTTGAAAAAAGATATTCCTCCAGAATATCTACATAAAGTTGTTGGACTTTTAATTTTTTATTTCTGTTACTGTTTTTTTAATTTCAATAAAGCACATTATAATGTTAATTTTTCACTCTATTTCAAAGAAATAGATTCATTTGAATTTACAGTCTTTACAACATCAGATCTTGTCAATTTTAATGTTCTGCTTAAAAAAAATCACACATCATGAAATCTGGTTACACAGAAGAATATGTAAGATCATTAAAAGAGCTTGGCACATAGTAAAATCTATATAAGAATTTGTTACATAATAGAAATATCAAGTAAGTTTTCATTCCCTAAGAAATCTAATCTTATTTTAAGATTTTTTTTTTTTAGTCCATAATGGAACTAACTAAAGTTATATCTTACAAAAATATATACGGAATGGAGTAAATCACACTTTCCAATAAACTTAAGCCAACAATACATTTATGGAGTTATGCTAAAAACTAGTGTCGAGATTTTTGCCAGATGTCTATAAATAGACAGCATTTGTGGATAGACTGGCCTTTGAGTAGTTTCTAGCCAAAAAGCTCTAATCTATCTACAAACTTTCTACTTTACACCAAACAGCTCAACTGCACCTTAACTTTTAGACTTATCATGCCTCATGGCCTATGTCAAAATACACAAAAATCAACACAAGTGATGTTAAGTCAAAATACCAACTTACATTACCATCCATAGTTAGCATTCTGGAGAATATTAACTAGAACATAGAATGGTGTTCATGAAAAGTATGAAATAATACAGAAAATGCCTTTAAAGGAATGTTAACTGGAATATATCAGGAAACCATCCTGTATGCACAGTATAATTACAACTTTGTGGAAAAAATGAGACTCTGAATACAAAAAAAGATAAAGAAAATGCCTCAAACTAAACAAAATAGTGATTTTTATTATGCTTACAAGCATTCCTATATTTTCCATTACTTTTGTAGTATGGTAGGAAAAAAATTAAGTTTGCTAAGAGACCTACAATGATTAAATTTGCCCACTGCTGCCTGTAGGCTAAATCTAAGATGAGTCTAATTAAAGGTGTTGAGCGTAGCCTGTCATTGCTTCTTCCCGTAAACACATGTCCTCTGCTCTTCAAAGTATGGCCAATGAGATCCAACATCATTAAGAACTGAAGCTATTTTTTTAAAAAACTACTGAAGCTTCCGTTTTGGATTGATACACAGTACAGGCTAGCCTTTGTTAGGCAGCTTCAACTCCTGGCTGTTCTCAGACTCTTCTGAATAATGGTGAGTTATCAGACACAGATATCATATTCTATTAATCATTTTGAAAAATTAAAAATAGTGATGGTTGACATTTACTGAGCAAATTCTCAGTATGAAATACCTTTATAGGAGTTTCCTGGCAGTGACTCTAGGAAATGAACATAATTTAATCACGGTTATTACTCAATTTGAATTCCCTTTTTATTTAATATTACCCATTTGTTTTTATGGTTCACCATTCCTTTATTTCACCCTCATCCACATCCTCACCATAGCAAAGTCCTCTCAAAAATAACTTTAGGCTCACATGTCTAACCACAAATGGAGGTTTTCTTTCTCCAGAGAATTTAAAGGTATTTCCAAGGTTCATCTGAGTTGGCTGGCCCAGGAAGAAACGTCTGGTAGAGTACGGAGAGGGAGCCCGGGACTGCAAGCCTTTGGGAAGTCCATCAAGATTTTTCTTTGGCTTCTTCTTTATATTATTTAAGGGGGATATCTGTCTATGTGATGTGGATAAAGGCCTTCGTGGCTTGTATCTTTCTTCCTGAAAACAAAAAAAGAAAGTTTTGTTTTGCAGCACTAGGGTTAGAACCCAGGGCCTTGAGTGTGTTAAGGAGGCATATCCTGAGAATGTATCCCCAATCCAAGAATATTTCTCAAAATAAAAAAAATGAAAATTCAATCAGAATTTAACTATTTAATTGAACTTTTTAAAACTAAGGAAAAAGACTGAGCTGCTCAGTTTTACAAGTCATGAACCTAAGGAAGGGCTTAACGTCACTAGTATTTAAATTACTAGAATATATATTTCAAGTAATGACAGTGAGACTTGTTTGTATTGGTGGAATGTTAGAAATATCAGATAGGTGGAGGTGATCTAACCAACATACAATATAAGCCTATTTGTAATTATCACAATGAATCCCCCCGTACAATGAATATATCCTAATAAAAAATTAATGAAAAAAAAATAAAGAAAAAAGAAATATCAGACATATACATACAGACATACACACACAAATACAGATATACATATATAGGCATAAGTACATGATAGATACTGGGAAAGAGAGAATATCACATACACTTGGGTACAGCAACTTCACTTTAAGGAATTCATTATATGAAAATAATTCTGGCAATGTGTACAGCAACAAAAATGCTTATACTAGTTTTAAAAACTAGAAACCAGCTGTACTGGTAAGTAAGCAATTGCCTCAGCAAATCTACCTGAGCTCTGTGACATTGGAGCAGGGACTCTGAAAACTTCTTTTCTCTTTTCCAGCTGTTAGTGGGTGCTGGAGGTAAACTCCAGGCTGGAGGAGATAGAGCTGGGGAACCACTTGGGAAAGCAGAATTCCCTAGAGGTCTGGGTCCCCTATCTGTGGGGTCTCTTCTTCATTGTTCTACGTTCTGATGACCTAAGCTGCCCTAGGATAGAAGCTGCTTCCTGCAGTGTTCCCCTTTTTATTTTTCAGTCCTCCAACCTGTTTATCTTTTTTAAACATTAAGTTAAAATCTTAACATTAAGACAATAAGTCTTTCTGTTAAAATAACAACTATGATTTAGTTTCTTGATGTATCAACAAAGAGAAAATGACTGACCAAACAAATCATGATAATGTATTATAAAAATTGTCTAATATAAGAACACTTAAGTACATGAGAAATGTATGTGAAATAGGAAGGAAAATATAAAATGATAAGTATGATCCCGACCTTTTAGAATAAAAAATGTTTGTGTGTATGTGTACAGAATACATTTAAAAATTAGTAATGCTCATCTCTAAATGACCAGAATGATAGGTGATTTTTATTTTGTCCTCTTTTGCTTATCTGTATTTTCTAAAATAAATGTGTTACTTTCATCATAGGAAAAAATAAAAGTTATTAATTTTTTTTGATTTTCATTCTTTTTTTTTCTTTTATTCACATGTGCATACAGTGTTTGAGTCATTTCTCCCCCCGCCCCCCTCCCTTACCTATTCCACCCCCTCGCTACCAGGCAGAAACTATTTTGCCTTTATCTCTAATTTTGTTGAAGAGAGAGTATAAGCAATAATAGGAAGGACCAGGGGTTTTTGCTAGTTGAGATAAGGATATCTATACAGGGAGTTGACTCTCATTGCTTTCCTGTACATGTGTGCTACCTTCTAAATTAATTCTTCTCAAACTAACCTTTTCTCTAACAAGTTATTAATTTAAAAAGTTAAAACTTAGCTTGATGCTGGTGGCTCATGCCTATAATCCTACCTACTTAGGAGTTTGAGATTGGGAAGATCACATTTTGAGGCCAGCCCAGGCAAATAGTTCTTCAGACCCCTATCTCCAAAATACCCAGAACAAAATGGACTAGAAGTGTGGCTCAAGACGCAGAGCATGTGTTTTGCAAGTGTAAAACACTGAGTTCAAACACCAGTCCCACCAAAAAAATAGTTAAAGGCAGATCTATATTAGGAGGCTAAAACAAGATTAAAATGGTAAAAGAAAAAACAGATTTAAAAATTACCCTAAAAATTATGCTGAACACATCACAAATAATTAGTGCAAATAAACAGAAAAACTAACAACCACTAGGCCTTCCTTAAAAATAATCATTGATCTCTCATTATGTGCATTAGTATGCCAAAAGAGTTGACAGATGCACACTTCACAAGATCTATAGAAGTAAAACAGCAACAACAAAAGCTAACTAGCCTACATATATCAACCTTGTGACTTTTGTGTCAGAGTCACCCTGCTCTGCCATCTACACCACTTTGAATATATGGTAAACATACCTAATGTGACAGGGCGAACAAGTGATCTGAATAAAGAAATTCAAACCTAGCTAAAACTGTACAAGTTTCTATTTGTTTAGCTGCCTCCAAATAGCAAACTGAGTTTCAGGTAAAATCGTTGTTTCTGGAGAAAACTTCTTTTTAATAATACTTACAAGAAATCTATTTCCATGCAGAAACACACATTCTCGGATGGCTGTCCTTGTAGAAAATTCTAGTTTGGGAGCAATGCCCTAAAAATAAAACAGCATAATAGAAGCAAAAAAATTACTGGAAACAATTCTTTGCCCATCTCATTCTAACTTGAAATCATAAGAACCTAATTGTTCTCTGTAGTTGGCACAATCTGTATACATTACCTAAAATATATACACAGTAAGAATAGCTAAACACTTATGTAATATGAATTACATACTGGACGTGGGCCTAAATATCATGAGCATATTAACTCTTTTACTAATGCAACCCCATGAAGTAATAGGTCCTAATGAGATCTCCATCTGTAGATAACCAAACTAAGACACAGTTTAAGTGAGTTGTCCATCTCGCAATGGCAAAGCCAATAACTGGACCCAGGCATTCTGATGCCAGCGTCCATTCTGTTAACTACTCTACTTAAAACATGAGATGGTGAAATGGAATGAGGCTGCCTGGAGGCTGGGTGAATAGAGGTTTTCCTTCCCTACTTACCGGCTTTGAAAAACTTGCTTTTTATCTTACATCAAACATTTACATTTGTCAAATCTATTTCCAAACTCCATTTTGTTTTATTAACCGCTACTTGTATTTTTGCTCAGTACCATACTGGCTAAAAGATTATTAAGGTGGGAGGGACCTTGGGTCTTCAGGGAGGGAACCAAAATGTTGCATGGTCCTAAACTGCCTGGCAGCCTGTTTCACTTAGTGGCTACTTAGTGGTTTCAGGTTTGAAGACAGTTGTGTCCCTAAACATGGGAGACTCTCGATTCTGGCCTCTGTTGTTATTTGTGACTTGTTTTGCCAGTGGGAGGGTGAGAGTGTAGAGATTTTGGATGAGCCTCAGAATGTATGAATTTACTTATTCATCTCGGAAAAAAGGCCTACTAAGGTGAAATAAAACAACAAAATACAGAAATACACAGAAAATCCTATTATAGTGAAGCAAATAAATCTAATCTTTAATGAACTGATAAATTAAGATAAATAAAGTGAATGATTTGCCTGACCTGTACATGTAATTCATTCTCGCCTCTGATAATATTAATGAAAAGAAGTAGAATAGTGAACTGAGAGTTAAGCTTTGGGCAGTGACTAACAGTGCAAACCACAAAGCATCAGAATCTGTACTCCATCACTCACCAGCTCTGTGACCCTGACTACATTCCTAAAAGTCCCTATACCAGCTTCCCTATCCAGAAAATGGGAAAAGGAATAGTAGCCACCTCATAAAGTAAAGAAGGACTGAACAGATGATCCATGCAATGAACTCAGTAAACACACAATGAACACCAACTACTATTAAAATACTGGCAGTTGATATATTTTTGCTTTATAGAACATTTCAGAGAAATTGAGCCCCTTTATCTTTTTTTATACAAACTGTTTAAAAGAATTTCATTAACTTCATTACATGAATTGATAGTTAATGCATGAGGGTATTTCAATGCCCTTTTAAAGCTCTTTGTCTGGCCATTACCTGCATTTATGGATAACTACAAACACAACTTCCTATAGGCTCTTCTATTTATGCTCATAAAGTTAAACAGACAACACTTGAGAAAATATAAGCAAGTGTTTCTTTTGCCTTGATCCTTAGCTGGATTCCAGCCCAGTGTTTAAAGATGGCTTTTATTTAAGAAAGAATTTGAGCAAAGTTAATATGAGTGTTTTCCCAGGCTGAATTTTTTTCTAAATTTTTTATTCTAAATTTTTAGAGTCTGAAGCGCAATACTTCAATAACTCAAAATAATAAAGGCAAGCATCCTACATATATGATGGATATAAGTGATACATGATGTTGGAGAAAATAATAGATTCAGTAATATTCACCAAACCCTCAAAGATAATGGAGGGCTTAAAGTTATAGACATTAGGAAATCTAATTAGTACAACCTTTAATGAATGTTCGCTGTTTGAAGTATCAGAAGTTCTGTCATCATAAGCATCATAGAATCAGAGGCCCTACAGGGGCACAGTACTCTCAACAAAGTTGAGACAGTAACGTTTCATTAAATAATAATAACAGCAATTTAGCAAGACATGGTAGTGTACTCCTGTATACTCAGGAAAAGGAGGCAAGAAGATTGCAAGTTCAAGGCCATTCTGGGAAAAGGTAGCAAGACCCTGTCTCAAAGATAAAATAAAAATAAAACAGGTAGTGGTAGAGCTCAAGTGGTAGAGCACTTGACTAGCATCCGTGAGGCCTAGTTTCAGTCCCCAGTATAATAATAATAATACAGAAAAGTTGAGTGTTAAAAATGCTTCCTATAATTCACAAAAATGTGGCCCTTATACATTGTAAAAACCCTGCAAATGCTACAATGTACCGCCACCCAGCACAATAACAATAATAATAAAAAATTAAAAAGATGTGGCCTTTAAAAGGAAGATCAACCAAATTGCATAAAAATATAGAAAAAAATTGTTAGGGTTGTTGTACAGACAGATAATGTCAAAATGGATATTTTGAATTTAGATTTAGATAAAGCCTCCAAGTAGATTACCAACTGACTATCTGCTTCGTCTTTTACAATTCTTCAGTAAAATTAGTCAGTCTCTGTCATTTTCTTCTCTGCCAAATGGAGACCATAATATCTGCCTTGGCTAATTTCAAAGTTGTTAGGAGGAAAACACCATATGTAAAAAGGTGAAGGCACAGGATAAGTGAGAGATAACATTACTACTATTGCCACTCTATTTAGTCATAATACCTATGACTAAATAAACACATCCTTCTGTTAATCTACAACAAGAGGAAGCTGGAAAAGCAACCTTTTATAACTATGTGACAATGTGAATAAGGCAATGATTTAACCTAATTAGGTATTGAGACTTCTACCTCTCAGATCAACAGTAGAAATTGGAACAATCTGGTTTCTTGATCTGGGCATCTGAAGAGGAATGCTAAACAGAATACCTTGGGCAATAAGTAAGATGAAGCTTTGTGTCCGAGATCCAACCCTGTCAGGAATGACATGCTCATGTCCCCCAAATTTCTCTCCAAATGCCCTGCTCAGATGGGCAGGATCACTTACTGGAAAACTTTTAGCCGTCTTCATGAGCACCTCCCTATGTTTCCCAGGGTGCGAAGGTGTCAGCTTGGGTTCAGGGAAAAGAAAATCTCGTGTGTTTTCTTCATAGTAGGCCAACTCTTCCCACACTACGAAGAAAGAAGAAAAGGTATATGTAGCCTACCTGTCTACCCCCCTCACCGCCCCCTGGCAATTTAACAAAATGTTCAGACATATGACGGCAGAGATGGTACGTGGGTACAAATAGACATTTTGAACCCAGCAATTATTATTAAGAGGAAAATAACTTCTACTACTTTTTATCTCATGGATAATTTTTTTTGACAGTACTTGGGTTTGAACTCAGGGCCTCATGCTTGCTAGACAGGCACTCCATCAGCCCTCATACCTAATTTTTAACAACTTTCTCAAGTCATAACAGAGAAAAGAGATTAAAGGGTTGCTCCACAAAAATTGGACAAAGAGGAAAATCTGTCTATTAATCCATCCACTCCTTAATCCATTATTTCCTTGACCAAATGTCTGCCAAAGACAAACTTTGAGTGAGGCCATGGAGATAGACAGCAAGAAGACAGACACAACCCTGTTCACACAAAGGTAACAGTTTAGACTGGAGTTCAGCTTATCTGTGAATAGGAGTACCAATGGCCCAAGGAAGACTAGACCTGTGGTTCTCAGCAGGGGTGGTATTAACCCCGGAGACATTTTTGACATTTGTGAGGACATTTCATGAGCAGAAGCCAAAGGTGCTAGGATGTTCTGTGGTGCTCAAGACACTACTGCATATCAAGTAATTTACCCAGGACTTCATGGTTGCCTAGCAAGTGTAATTCAGTAATAATCACCAAACCCTCAGAGATAATGGAGGGCTTAAAGTTATAGACACTAGGAATTCTGATTAGGACAACCTTTGATGAATGTGTGCTGTTTAAGTATTAGAAGTAGAAGTGTGAAGCCCTGAGTTCAAACACCAGTATGGCCAAAAGATTAAAATAAATAAATGATGATTTTCCTTACCCTATGTAACTTTCTAACTTCCTAACAAACATTCCTTCAAGCTAAAAACTATCTGATCCAAGACCATAAATCTATGTTGCATATAAGTACAAAGAATTTTTGCATGATTTTAAAACCCACTGACTTCTCTAGGAATGCAGGTATTGCATAAATTAAGGAATGGTTTTATTTTGGGTTTTTTTTGGGGGGGGATCTTTACCAAGACCTATGTGGCATTTTAAAAATCATGTCACATTAAATACTTCATTTTGCTCAACATTTATATTGTGATATACAAATCACGTTATTATAAACTACTTTTTCCTTTTATTTCTCCCTTATATTTCAGTTGGAACCCTCTTACACTGTTGGTGGGAATGTAGACTAATATAACCACTCTGGAAAAAAATTTGGAGGCTACTTAAAAAGCTAGACATCGATCTACCATTTGATCCAGTAATACCACTCTTGGGGATATACCCAA